AAGAGGGATCTAGTGATCTCGACGTAGACTGGGTTATGTTTGCAAGGAAGGTTTGAAGAGGTTTGTGGTTCCGTAGGGATAGTCAAGTTTTTCGTCAGGAAGATGTTTAAAATGTCTGTGACCTGGTCAGGGGAGCTAGTTCAGTGAATGGGTTCGGAGGCGACCTTGATATTGATATCGAGGTTATGCAAATGCTTGAGAAGAGAGCGTCATTTAACATTCACGCACTTGGATCCCCACGATTTGTGCTTGACGTTCAAGTCGCTAGTCACGATTGTAGGAGTGTTGGAGTCAAAAGGCGCGGTAAAGCAATGAAATTTAGGGTCATTCTTGGGAGGGGAGTAGAGGGAGATGATTCTAATGAAAATAGAGGAAATGGTGTATACTTTGTCTCCAACTACTTTGCAATTGGCAGCGTTTGTAAATGACACGATGGCGGATGCCCATGAAATAAGGATAGCCACTCCACCATGGGATAGCTAACGTATGCTTCGTCTGTGGACAGCGTAGTTTGGACAAGTTGTTTTGGCGTAGTTAAGTCTACAAAGCCACAGACGTAAGCAGCATGGCAGTAAGCTGCTATATGCTCTAATTTTCGGCAGCGGCGACATTGGGGAATGTTATTTGACTTGCACTTCTGTTTAACTCTGACAGAAGTGCCCCTGAAGGACTTGAGGTTGTAAAAGCATCGGAATTAGTGTCTTAAGTATCGAGGTATATGGTGATTAGGGACCAGGTTAGTACGAATGCTTTGGTTATGCGATGAACACGACAAGCAGAGGGTACTTTTTCTTGGATTATGTCCAAGACTTTTGCTTCCGTGTAGCCAATATTAATTCGACAGATGACAGCTATCATTTCACGGTTCTCATAAGAAATAGGAGTGGTATATTCGACCTTTTTTTCATCAAGATCGTGGACGATTTGTTGAAAGCTGCCGATATTTTCAGGGTAGACGCGAGTGCCCTGGTAGGTGGTGATTACGCAGCAAACAGAAATATTTTTTGGAATCGAAAAAATAACGTTGTTTTTCGGCATATTCTAGCGAATTTTAAACAAAGGATAATAATTCTTGTTAGAGGGTGAAAGGTAGTATGAAGTATGATAACTGTAAATTTTTCAATACTTTTCGAAGCCAAAAATTTTTGAAAAATTTACAGTAATAATATTTGCTACTATTTTGTACCCACATCAAGAATTATCACTATTTATTAAAAAATTCGATCTTTTTTTCGAAAAAACAAGACAATTGGTAGTTCGAAGTTAAAATTTGATTTCAAAAATTAAAAAAAAACCAACAGTAACATTACTTGGTACTATCTTTAACCTCCATTGGAAATTATTCATATTCATTCCGAATTTGCTACATTATCTTAAAAAAACGTCTTTGCTCTGGAAAAACGATATAATTAGCACTTTAAAATTAGAATTTGGCTCCAAAAATTCAGCCTCCAGTCAGAAGGGCCATTGTTTCTTGTGAAGGGTTGTAGCTAAAAATAGCAAATAATAAGCAAAAAAATATGGTATAAGTTTTAATGTGGCCCTATGAGTTTGAACTAGCTTTATAGCACAGACATCGTTATCATTCTTTAACACATGATTGCGGAATCTTTTGACTCACTTAGTTGTTGTTACTGAAAAAAAAAATCGACGATTTTTCCTGTACCTTAAACTGATTATGAAATTATTACCGTTTCACTTTTTTCTTTTCATTGCAATATACCCGATCAGAAATTAAAGACTGCTAATTCTGGTCTACGGCTTTCTCTCGGCTTACCAGCTGTGGGAACGATCTGGATACCGGAGCGGATGTGATGCAAGCCAGAGCTAGGATAAAGGTTCACAGGCTGATGAATGTCATGTACAAGCGTAAGACAGCGCAGAAGTGTGTATATATAGATTTATTACGTTCGAGATCATATATTACTTATCACTTTCACAGGTTTGTAATAATGTAAAATATATAATAATCGTTGTGCATATAATGAAATTCAGCATTATTATTGTTATTACGTATTATGTATTTTTTCAAATGTATGTTAGTCTATAAGAATAAACTTTTATAGAATTTTTTAAAATTCAAGTTTTAATTTCAAATGCACTGTAAATATTTATCATATTTTTGACGTTGAAGATTAAAATAAGAGTTGTCATTATATCTTTAATGAACGTAGTTTATTTAATTCTTGTAAACGAACTTACATGGTTAAGTGTAATAATGGTTTTTATACCTACATTTTTCACTCACTTCAAATTTAATGTAGAGGAACTTCATTAAACGATTAAATTCTATTGCTAATTAAATTTTTTTTGTAGATTCATAGAATGTACATTAAATTTGTTTTTCAAATGATTATAGCTGAAAATGCAAATTTATAGATTAAGACTGATATTAGCGTTTTATTATTTCTTACTAAGAATTTGTACTTATTTTTTATTTAGTAAAAAAAGATATTATCTGTTACCCCAATTATTATCTGTAAACGTATAATGCATTATCACATTTAAATAATAATCAGTTTAAAATTTCTGGGTCGGTTGCACTTTAAAAAACCATACGCATAAATCATGATGATAGTTTCAAGTAAGTCGTATTAATTTCAAACACAAAATTCTTTATGTGTATATCAAACCTTGATGAGAGAATTCATGGATAAGAACCTTAAGTACTTAGTAAGTTGATAAATGACACTTGTAATCTTTGCTGACGTTAAAAATAAAGCCCATGTCATAATTAGAAACTCAAGGTTTTTGGCATTTTAGTCACCAAATAGTCTTAGTCTTACTTGAGTCGGGACGAAGGCCACGACCGCAACAATTGGGTTTGTAATACTAGTTTTAATAATGCATCCCATTATTTACATTCAATAAACGGCTAAGTTTAACTTTAGTAATGGTAAGTAACTACATGAACTTTTCTGCAGTCGTAAGTACTTTGTCATCATACTTTCCGGCTAACCACACTACTCCTATAATGAATTGAAATATAACTCTGTCACAAATTTCAGACCCATATACTTTTGCGTCATCTTTTGAATGAATTTATACCTTTGGGTATAACTTTTGATCACCACAGTTCAGTAATATTAATAATAAGCGCTCCACCCTTCTGGACTTCGCCCAATATTCAGGGAGAGGAGTACGTTATTGTGTAGATTCATAATGTAAAACATTTTCAACTCAAAATTCTGCATCCATTATTAAGACTTTTAGAAATAAGCAACTTTTTATTAAAACAATTTTTTTTGGAGCCCATACAATTTTAGTTAAGTATTAAGCTGTAAGAAAGTAAAAAACATATACAATGAAGCTAAAGAGTACAGTGCGTTCTTTAAGCCTTTAAACAGTTGTTTGCTCTAAGAGAAGGGCTGTTGGTATACCATTTTTCACGTTTAATACAATATAACGATAAAAAAATAATGTCGGAATAAATATAACAGTACTTTTGTAAAAAATTTCGTTAATGTGAAATCAATTAAACATTTAAAAATTTCTAGCAGCAAATCGTTTACGAAGTCTAACGCTCTTTTTGTGGCTTTGGGCGTGCTCGACGTGTTCAGCTCGTGACAGGCAACCCCACGTTAATTATCACTAGCTTAAACTAACTTGTTTCAATCAATTAAAAAAAGTCTACCGTTTAATAAATATCTCAGAAAATGCTTAACTTGGTCTGGAGTCAAGAAAATAATTAGGGTAGTCACTACGTGTAACAAAGTAAAAACATTGTATCTTAGCTTTTTTTGATCGTTAACAAAATTTTTTTTTAATTTAATTGGAAATCAGTGCAATTACACGTATTTGCTTCTTCATTTCGAAGTTGAAAATTGACGTAAATAGGGTCCCTGGTGACGGATTTTTTGCTAAATAGCTTTTTTGTTAATTTATTTGGACATATGGATTTTTCAAGAGATTAAAGATATTTCCCGTACTTATAGATTTTGAGTGGTTAGATCTTGACGTTATTGACTGACCATATGTTGTTAAAAATAAAAAATTTTAATTTTGTAATTTCAAAATAAGTCACTATTTGCAAATTTCTTTATTGGACTTGCAGAATATTATTAAGCATTCATGAGACTACAACGTACTTAATTTTCACTATTTCTAAAGCACTTTTACTACTCCTCTGCAGGGTTGTAGTTTTTTTTTTGCTTTTTTCGCCTTAATTATTTATGTTTAAAATATTTAAAAACAGCAAATTTTGTTTTGAATATTTTATTGCAAGAGCAACTCTTTTTGAGATAGTTAATGAGAACTTATAAACGTGTCTAACAAAATTTATTTTGCATTATAAAACAATGTTCTGGGCCTTACTCAATGTCAAATTTAAGGACTATATTTTTTGTATTTTCTTTAAATTTAAAGATCTAAATCATTAAAATAGAAACGACTTTTACGAGTAATACCTTTGGTGTCTTGATTAGATACAATAGTACTTAACTCTTACAAATTGAATATTTTGAAGAAATTATTTGTAAATTCTGTCAAAGTTTTAATACTATATAAATTTAACTTTTTATACAGTAAAGAAGTAAGTAAAAAATAGAAATTGTGTGAAAAATTAAAGTATCGAGGGTCCAACTTTTTGTTAGACTCACCTCCAATTTTATTGGCATCAGATTTTTCATAAATTATTTAGAAACACAAGGTAATGGAATAGGTGGATTTAAATTAAATTTAAAAACCACATAGAATTCATATTTACAATAAAAAAGAAAAAAATTGAAAAGTTTTTTTTGCAGACTTGTGCACCCAATTTTTTGGGATTAGCGATCAGTTCCCGTAAATTAACAGTACATTATACATACTTTGTGTATGTGATGAAGAGATTTCCAACAGAAAAACTAAAATTGATTCGTACGTGTCAAGAAGTTTTACGTAAAGCTCTATGTATGTGTGCGTTAATGTGGGCACACCAGCCTATACGCACGTTTTTTTATTGAGAAACTTATTTTTAACTTCAATTGTAAAAAATATACACTACAACTTAAAAAACTTACGTTGCATTCTCCAACTTGTATGCTGTCGTTCTGAACTTCTTAAACTTTCTTCTTCCAATTTTCTTTCAATTTCTAGTTCTTTCTGTTTTTTTATTTCTGCTTGCTTTTCTAGTTTAGCTAAACGCTCAGCTTCTTTAACTTCTTCTTTTGCTTTTCTGATCCTCTCTTCTTCCTCACGCTTAGCTCTTTCTTCTTCCATACGTTTTCTTTCCTCTTCTTGTCGAGCACGTAATTCTTCCAATCTTTTTTTCTCAGCCATATCAGATAAGTTTTTTTCCCATTGTAGTTTTTTCTCTACTTTTCTTTGTAGCTTGCGTTTTAGCAAACGACTGGCACGTTCTCGATTTACTATGAGCTCAAAGTCTCGTAATTTTTCTAGATAAACATTCTTTCGTTCAGCAAGAATTTTGTCCAGAAAAATATGTACATCTACTTTCATTCGGGATAAGCGCTCACGTGTAGCCACGGCTTGATTGCGTTCTTCGATGGCAGCTTGAATTCTTTCAGTTTCTTGCTGGTCCCAACGTTGTTTAGCAAGTTCAAGTTTTTCTTCCATGGCTTTTTCAAGTAATGGGATCTCTTCCCAACGTTTTGCTCGTTCAAGGTAATCTACTTTTTTTTCTTGTGACTTCAATTTTTGTTTCCGCTCTTTCTGTAGTTCTTCTACTCCACGTGCTGCTAGTTGCTCAGCATCAAGTTTTTTTACTTCATCTTCATCTAATTTTTTTAAAACTTTTTTACCATGACTCGTTCGGGAAATTTGTTCGACTTTTTCTTTATGGGTACGATCTCTAATCTGTTGAACTTCTGATTTCTGCCGTTTAAGTTCTCGTTCTTCACGTTCTTGTTCTAAACGTTTTTGTTCAGCAAGTAGCTGTTGTCTTTGCAACTCCTCTTGACGTCTCATTTCTTCTTCTTCTCGAACAAAATTCATGTGTTCGATGTATTCTTTCCTTTCTTCAATTATTTTATGTCTACCAAGTATACGTTGATGTTCTTTGACCTTGGTTTCATGATAGTAACTCACCATGAGAGATCGTAACTTTTCCCGTTCTTGTTTTTTTTTGTTTGGGTTAATGACGTTATCTGCACGGTGTAATACAGTAGCCATATTAACTAATTGACAACGTATCTGCTCTGACGGCATTGCTTGTAAAACAGGACCATCTGGATGATCTTCACGTTGAGCTTCCGATAAATCAACTCCAAAATGAATGCATCTCTTTCCATGGTCTATTCTGATTTGCATATCATTATATCTAACACAGTCTACGAGAAGACGTTCCAAGTGAAATTCTGTCGTAAACTTTGCAAGAATAAGCATCCGAACTATTTGTATAGTTTGATAAACTTGTGAAACCTGTAAGTTAAGTTAATTAAAAACTATTAATATTAATAAACAAATGATTATAAAAGTTTATTTACTGTGCAATATAAAATAAATTTATAAAACAAAAACATTCTTTTTAATGATAATGTACATATTTCAATAAAATCATTCATCGCTGATCATATTATTAGAACATTATTGTTGTGTAGAAGCGATTAACTTCGAAAATAATGCCTTCCAACCAGGTAAAGATAGGGCTTATAAAAAAATTTTACGGTACAGACAAACACTATAAAAAGTATGTATTGTTACGCAGCATGCAAAACTAATAATATGTCTACTCAAAACGTTATTTTAACCTTAAAGGAAAAGCCACACCGCAGGTAGCTGCTTAGAAAATCGAATTATACTGATTTTTGTTTCATGCTCTCGTTTTTGTTTTTTACCAAAACTCTCTATAAAACAGACAATAATCTTGCAATAAAGGGATAGTAATTTATTTATGTTTGTTTTGTACATAAACTTGCTCAATTGTGTTATATTTTGTACTAACAAAATTTTTTTTCACTTGCCTTTTCCTTTAGCCACAATTTTGTGCAACACAACAACAATTGTTTCTTTAAAACAAGATAATCAAAAAAACATAATATACTTATACTTCACAACAGCAAAAATCAATCATTTAATTAGTATGTGTACCAAGTACACTAAAAACCGTTTTTACATTTGCATTGTCTACTACATATCGTATTTTGAGACCAAGAAATTAAAACAAACTAAACAAAAATTGAAAAATCAACTTAATATAATTATTACAGAAAAATAACAAAGGAACTAAGGATTAAAAAGAACTATAAAGGTAAACACAAAATAGGAGAGGTAAAATAGCGATAGTTAAGGTAGGTGTAATATGTATGTTAAGAAATCAAATGGATAGGACAATGCAGAAGAGGCTTAGGAATAATTAACAAGAGTTAGGTCAAGTAAGAAGAAAATGATAACTTTATGGTATAAACTAAGAAGTTAAAAAAAAGATCTTAAAGCTATAGAAAGGGGTATTATAAACAGCATGCAACAAAAAGTAAGAGTGGTTAATTAAAAAGTTTAAGTAGAAAATAAAGACATTACAGCAAAAAAAAATTTTTTGTACTTTTTGTGTAAGAACTAAGGTCTGTACTGGTAACTATTATGAGAACTAATTTTAGGTTCACATTTATATTTCGAATTTTAATAATAACCTCGAAATTACGAGGAAACCCAATTTTTTCAGTGTTACGTCAACAAAATAGTTAGTTTTTGCGATTTACTGGTACTTATCAAGGATTCAAAAGTAAAGAGCTCATTCTGATTTAAAAAAATAATATTCTTATTTCACAACTTTCTCGTCATAAAATTGACACAGTTCATGACAGAAAATTGTTTTATTTATTTTGTAGCGCTATTTTCCATAATTTTTTTTCTAACCATAAAACTAAAGTACTAATAGCATTTTGTAGATACGAAAGATATGAAAAATAAATTGTGTTACTTGTAGGAGCATTGAGTTTCAACCTGAAAAAAAAAAAAAAAAAAAAAAAATCTCACAGTTTTATTCATATTGCTCGCATTACTCTGAAGTTTTTAAAAAATTATATTCTTATTGTCGTTATAAAAACTGCCGATTCAGAACTCTGAGATACTTACAGAATGTCATAAGCAGTGTTATGTCTGGAGCATGAATTTTATATACTGTACGAAATTGTACAACTCTCTCCTGCATTAGAATAATTTTTAATTTCTAAAGAAATTTTGTTCTTATCGTAAAGCTGTGGTTTTTAGTAATAGTTTCGGCAGACAATAATTTTCCACTTTTAGCTGTTCTTTAGGCGAATGCGCCTCATTCAGCTGTAAAATCTATCGATTTTTTGGCTAACTTCCAACCACAAGTAACCTGCAGATCAAGTTTTTCGGGACTTTAAGACTCTGGCGCTATGGTTAACATACACAATTTTGGTCGGTCATTCCAATCTAAAAAGTCCTTTAAACCACTTAACATTATTTCTAGTTCGAGCTTCCTTACCGATGGAGTACTGTTCTAAGAAATCGTATGTTCTCTTTCATTGGTGTCCATACATATTTTTTGCTGTTCAAAATGCTGACAAAAGTTATTTATTCGGGCATCGTGTGTATATTTTTCTCTTGTATCCGTAGATGTATCAATTTCTTATGCACTTATTTGAATCAACAATTAGTACAAATTTGTTTCATTATGTGACAAATGTAAGAATTGTCGTTCAAGACTTTTGAATACTCATCTTAAGTTATTTCCTGTGTCCTGTAATACCCGAATCTTCATAAGGCTTGCAACACCTGATGGGGCACGGCTGTTATAAAAATTGTTAATCAACGGTAACAGTATTCCTTAAATGATAAGTATAACAAAAACTATCCATTCCATGTAGCAAAATAACATTTACCACAACATAGTAAAGATATTATATATAAGTTTGTCCGTATATACACAATTATTTTAATAAGTATTTTTATTTCTAATAATACCGTACTCCATGAAGATCTCCGTTACGTTTTTTACACAATTACATTAAAATAAGATATTTAAGCGTCAATAATGCATACATAATAGCATGACGACGTAAATAAAAGATTAAGGTTCGAAAATGTGTCAGGTCGTGAGTGGTTATGATATTTAAGTAATAGGTATGGTACGACTTGAAGAGCATTACAGAGATAGCTATGTACTTAGTAAAGGTACACTACACTAAGGTATTGTACTTTCAGGTCGAGATGTAATTGCCAGCACTTTTAACTAGATAAGTTGGTAATCTTTCTTGTATATTGTGAAAATTTATCTTGTATACTTGTATAATGTGAAAGTTATTACAATGGTCCTATTGTAAAAATTTGTTTTTCAAGTTGTTAGAATGGAACAATTGTGGTATATTTAAGCATGACTTTATTCTTGAAAATACTACAAAGTTTAAAACATTCCAATATTTCAATGCTTATCCTGCTTTCTTATCAGGGACTTACTAAAACTTGACATAAAAATATACATTTACGTAATACAATGATGCAGAACACAAATGACAACTTGTGAGCAAATAAACACTTATTAAATACCGTGCAGTTACAAGCACGAACAAAATACATATCAAGGTCACCAACTATCAAATTTTAAACAACGCACTTATAATTACAGAGCCGCAAGTACAACATCTACGAAGGTGTCAATAAAACCCTTAAACTTAAATTTAAAATTACCAGCCACACAAATAAATATAGGTAATAGGATTGTAACTAAGTAAAACAAATTATTACAATTAAGTACGGAATTACTGGTACATTAAAAAAATTAGTTATGATCCAAATGAAGTATGAAACAACTTCATGAAGTTTCGATGTACGTGTAAGTATAGATATGAAAATTCGGAAAAAATGTAAAGAACTATGATTTCACTACTTTTTGATTGACATCAAATCGAGCGTATGAGCGTCTGTTTTTTTGTTAAAATTACTATAGCAGGTCATAATAGCTAAACTCAGAAAACTCTCGTACAACCTTATTTTTTTCACGGTCTAAGATCTTTGGGTTATCAAAATCAAATTCGCTCTGGCACTCCTTTAGGGTCCTCATTACTAACATTGTTTCATACTCAGACATGTGCAACCTAAACGTATCTTACTCTCTCTAATATATGATGCCCCAAAACTGAATTTAACCTTTTAAACCATATTTTTGACCTCAGCTCTAGGAATCACCTCTTCACCCAAACCAATAGTGCCTGTGATTTTATTGATGTTGAAAGAAGTTAACTTAACATTGTATTTTGACTACGCAACTCTTATTGGTCATTCCAAAGAAGAAAAGAAAGGATTATGATTCTCAATTTGAGTTTAAGGATTCTATTGACATTTTGGTGAATGTTGTACGTGTTACTCTATGTAATCATCGTGTTTGCAATCGTGTGGTAACTGATACGAGGTCATATGCTCACAAGTGGTATTTTTTTCTGCACCTAATTATTAAATAACAGTATACTTTTATGTCAATTTGACTTAGTCCTTAATAAGGGTACGGGATGAGCAACAAAATATTACAATTTTTTCTAACTTAGTAATATTTTCAAAAATAATGTCATTTTTAAACACGTTACAACTGTTTCATTAAATTATTTACACATAAAAGTAAGAGATTAGAGCCATACTTAGCACTAACTCACTTATTGTTCATAATAATAAAAGGCTTTAGTATTTGATCCAAAGCTTTCATTAAATTATAGTAAAATTTATTATTGAAGTTATGATTAACAGAAGTCCCTATTGAAGATGGTTTTACCCTTTTATTTACTTATTTTTTTAAAAGTTTTTTTTGCCATTAGCAGTTCCATTCATACGTCCTTATAATTTAGTAAAATCCATTACAAAAAGTATGGGGCTGATAAGATTCTACATTGTACTCTCAGTAACTTGTCTGTAAAATTTATGATTGAAAATGAAGACTTGTTTTTAATATGAAACGTGTAACTGTCAGTAACTGATGTAAAAAACGTTGATGTAGCCCAAAAAATGCTTTTTGCTTTATTTTTAAGTAAGACTAATTATATTTCGTATCTAAAAATATCTAAAAAATATAAGTAGTACTTGGATTTTGAGGATAGGAAAAGAATTACTGAAAATTGCGTTAAAAATATTGATATGCTATATTACGTATGAGCTTGCGAAGGCTTCGATTTACGAACCGAGAGGTTTACGGCAGGAGCCGAAGGCGAGGGCTATAACGAGGTTCGTATCGAAGTCTTTTCAAACGAGTTTCGTACACTATTTTTCCGCCTGAGAACTCAAAATCAAGCGGCAAAAGTGCAATTTGAGGTTAGAAGGCGGAAAAAATAATTTTCTGTCACGAAAAATTCAATAAATTATAATATTCTGTCTTTATATATTTTATATTTTTTACAAACGAAATTCATCCTTAGTTTTCAAGGTTAGAAATACAAACCTGTTAACAAGCGTAACGATATTAGTAGAAGTTT